ATAACTTCGTAGCACCTCATTAACTGACGTGAAGGTCTAGAGAGAACATTGGTGAGGGTACTTGAAGTACGTAAATCAGCACCTGTAGGTACATATCTATTTCATGAACAAGTTGAAGTCATGCAAATCGTGACAGCCTCGGTTACTTAGTACTTCAGAGTAGAGATGGTTTTGGACGACTTCTGTATACTTCTAAACTCTTTTGGAAAACGTCCAAAATTCATGCAGCATGCAAAACTGTCCAAAACTACCAAGGAAAATATTCTATCGGGTAGTTTTGTCAGAGGCGTTGTGCTCGTGCTCTGACTCAGAGTACGAGCACAACGCCGCGTGCCACCTGTATGAAGCATTGGATAATGTGCCCCAAGGCGCCGTCTAGCCCATGCGCTCAAACTCTGTATCCCATGAGGTTTTTTGAGATAGTTCAGTCAATATTTAGCGATTTTACGCCTAATCTTAAGGACGATTAAATTAGTTCCATAGCGTGTACCCGTGCACGCAGAAACGAATTACAAGCTCTAAATTTTTACGCAAAGAGGGCGAGGTTTATTTCGAAAATCCGGGACATAACGGTGAGCCACTAATTAAAATTAACCAATCAAAAGAGAGATAAGAATTAACCTAATATTTATGCTTTCCAAAGCATGTAGCTATTGAACTTAATTATGAATCGAAAAGCTGGCTGTACCCTTGACACTATTGCGGCAGAGGCCAAATTCCTCTTGTACTTGATGGCGAGCTGCAGCGAGTACCTTCAATACATGTATGTACACGATTAGAGAGAGTGATAAGGTGTACTTATATTGTAGCAACACTTGTCTCTGTAGACGGAGCTGATCGTGCACATCAACTTCGCCCATAAGGGTTTCGTAATCCTTGAGAACTCGGGGGCAGACAACTTCAGTCTGTCCTCCAGTCCGCTTGTCAAGACGCACAACGCGGTCAAGATCGACACTTCCGCCAGACGCCAGCATTTACACCACTTTGTTGTCCCACCAGCGCAATGCTCGAAACCGGGGAATCTGCTTGTGCTTTGTCACTTCGAATGTGCCACGTTCGATGTGGGCTGGTCGATTCTTGAGTAATTTTTCTTCATTTCACCTCTTTTTTCTTTT